GAAACCGCTTCCTCTTTCAGCACCTGTACTTTCCCACCCGGAAAATAACAAGTTAGATGGGAGGGTGCCTGGGTTCCTTCCAGCTCTGAAATCCCAAATGCAGACCAGCAGACCATGTCTCAATGAGGGGAACAATAATGCATGGCCATATTCTTATTTGCTTGAGGAGCTGAATTAAACATTAGCTCTGTTCGAAGTGGGGATGATAGCGTTGTAATTATTCAGTTATTAATAACAGAAAAGGAACAAAGGGAAGACATAGGCATGTTCCCTGCAAAACACTGGAGGAGGGAACCACATAGGGAAGATAGACGCATGCCCAGTAAAGCTGAGATGACATAGGGAAGATACTTGCCTGCCCATTACACCTGGGGATACAGATGGTTGGCCAGAATGGGCGTGGCCATGCAAGCGCATGAGTATTTGGAATACATAACCCACCCCCCACCCCCGAACAAAGCAGCTTTGTGCTCTCTTTGACTCTTGGGACTCCTGTTGTTCAGGGAAGTGTGCTGTCTTGGGTCTCTAGTATTTGCCGGTATGGCCCACAGCCATGTGGACCCCACATGCAATGGACTGATGGACTGCAGCGGAAACACAAGCTGAGCTAGCCTTACGCTGTACTGGACCTGGCTCCAACATGGAAAGGAACTCTGGACACTGACTCTGATTTTAGCCCCAGTTACACTTCTTCTATGACTGGACTAAGGAAAATGGGACTGGAAACCCAGGGGAATTATATCACGGAACTAAGGCTTTCTACTACATCTCATCCTCCCCTGGGGACCTCTGGGGTGCTTGTTATAGCAGTACCCCCAAGAACCCCAACCCTAGCAGCAACAGGGGAGACGAGGCATGCTCCTCTCCATTAACAGGGAGTGGGGGACAGTTGGTGGTTGATTTACAAATAGTGAGATTTACAAGTTTTTCCTCATTACAGACCACACATTGGTCAATGAGGCAATTTCTATATATGCATAAATATGGGAAAACATGAGTTGTGAACTTCTATCCTGTATATGCTTCTTGGACTTTAAGTTAAAAGAAGGGAGCTCCTTCCTTTATACCTTCCAGTAGAGGGAGCCAGATTTTAAGCATTAACCAGAGTATAATTTATTCCATAGAAATGTTTGCCTGATCCAGAAAAAGAAAACCAGTATTTTGATGTTGTATCCTCATTTCTGGGTCTTATATAAAACAATAGAAACTGTATCATAGAGACCACCACTAACTCCAAAAGACCAGTTTTCCTAGTAATAAATATTTTTTTTATCCTTTTCTATCAATTTCATCAGAAGTGGTAGGATTTTTACAAACATTTATTTAGCTTGTTAGTATCTGAGTTCTGGTTTTAAAAAATGTATACTATAAAAGTATCACAACAGCTAGGTAATTGTTTTATATGTTCTTATTGATTTCAGAGAGGAAGGGAGAGGGAGAGACAGAAACATCAATGATGAGAATCATTAATCAGCTGCCTCCTGCATGCTCCCCACTCGGAATCTGGCCCACAACCCAGGCATATGCCTTGACCAGGAATCGGACTGTGACCTCCTGGTTCATGGGTTGATGCTCAACCATTGGGCGACACCGGTTGGATGGTAATAGTTTTTTTTTTAGAGGGGACTTTTTTATTTATAGTAAAAAGTCTTTTTCTTTTTTAGTGAGATATAGCTGTCATATAAAATTATACTAGTTTTAGTTGTACAACATGATTTGGTATATGTTTATATTGATAAATGATTGCCTCAATAATTTTAATTAACATTCACCACCACACATAATTTTTTCCTTGTGATGATAACTTTAAGATTTACACTTTTAGCAACTTTCAAATATATAATACTGTGTTGTTAACTATACTCACCATGCTGTACATTACTTCCTAAGCACTTACTTGTTTTATAACTGGAAGTTTATACCTTTTGGCTACATTCTTTCATTTCATCCACACCCCTTCTGACAACCACCAGTCTGTTTTCTGAATCTATGAGTTCTGTTTGTTTATTTGCTTGTTTGTTTTTATTTTTACATACTAGTAGGATTGTACAGTATTTATCTTTCTCTGTCTGATTTATTTTACTTAGCATAATGCCCTCAAGGGCCATTCATGTTTTTGCAAATGGCAGGATTTCCTTGTTTTTCTTTTTATAGCTGAATAATATTCCATTCTGTGTATATGTATATATATATATATATGTATATGTATATCACATTTTCTTTACTCATGCATCTGTTGTTGAACACTTAGGTTGTTTCCATGTCTTGGCTATTGTAAATAATGCTGCAATGAACATGGGGAGGGGGAGCATATATCTTTTCAAGATAGCAATTTTATTTCCTTTGGATGAATACCCAGAAGAGGAATTGCTAGATCATATGATGGTTCTATTTTTAAGTTTTGGAAGAGCTTCCATATTATTCCCCATAGTGACTGCACCAATTTACATTCCCACCAATACAGCACAAAGGTTCCCTTTTCTCCACATTCCCATCAATACTTGTTATCTATTGTCTTTTTTTGATGATAGCCATTCTAACATGTGTGAGGTGATCTCTCATTGTGGTTTTGATTTGCATTTTCCTGATGATGAATTATGTTGAATATCTTTTCATGTACCTGTTGGTCACTGGCATATAGTCTTTGGGAAAATGTCTCAGTTCCTCTGCCCATTTTTTAAACAAAATTTTTTTCTATTGAGTTTTATACATTCTTCATATATTTTAAATATTAACTCTACAAGATACATCATTTGCAAATATTTTCACCCATTCTGCAGGTTTTGTTGATGGTATCCTTTGATGTACGGAACATTTGTTATGTAGCCCACTTGTTTAGTTTTGCCTTTGTTGCCCTTGATTTTGGTGTCAAAGCAAAAAATCATCATTACTATCTATGTAAAGGAGCTTGCCCCCGATGTTTTCTTCTAGGGGTTTTATGACGTCAGGTCTTACACTCAAGGCTTTAATCCATTTTAGTTGATTGTCGGGTATGGGTAAGATAGGGTTCCAGTTTCATTTTTTTGAATGGGGGCTGTCCAGTTTTCCCAGCACATTTTTTAAAGAGACTATCCTTTCCCCATTGCATATTCTTGGCTGAAAAGTTGTACTTAACGACAGTATTTTGGTTTGATCATGAGAGAGAAAACAGCTTGTAGACTGTAGCCTTCATTCCCTTGTGCAGGAAAGTTTACACACTTTGAAAGAATGAGGACTACTCTCCTGAGAAGTGTTCTGGTTTGAACTGAATCCCTCTCACCCCCCAATCTCATATGTTGCAATTCTAACCCCCGGTACCTTACAATATGACCTTATTCAGAAATAGGGTCATTACAGATACAATTAGTTCAAATGAGATAATACTAAACTAGGCTGGAACCCTACTGCAACATGACTGTTGTCCCTATAAGAAGGAAAATTTGGACACATATGCACACACAGAGAATGCCATGTCAAGATGAAGACAGAGATTAGGGTGATGCCAGCAGTACATATATATATTCACACACACATAATACACACACTTATGTACACAGCGTGTCCCCAAAAATGTATACACACTTTAACAGCTGATAGCTCAATTTTGAAAATGAAATGTATTTTAATAAACACTGCCGTTATAATTATTCAAAGTGCATGTGTACATTTTGTTGGGACACCCTATATACAGACACAGTTTAAAGTAGCAAGAAATTCTAGTAAAACTTTGCTGGTAAATACTGACCTGGCATAGCTGCATTTTTGTTAATCCTCCAACAGAGGATATTTTTTCCATTGCTTTTTAGAAAGAGTGGAAGGGAGAGCAGGAGGGAGGGAGAGAAGCAAAGCGGGGGAGGGGGGAGGGGGGGAAGAAAGAGAGAGAGAGAGAGAGAGAGAGAGAGAGAGAGAGAGAGAGAGAGAGAGAGAGAGACATTGATATGGGAGAGACACATCAATTGGTTGCTTCCCACATGCACCCCAACCAGGGCTGGGGATGGGATCTACAATCCATGTATATGCCCTTGACTGGGAATCAAACCCGAGACCCCTTGGTGCAGGGGGTCTGAGGCTCTAACCACTTAGAAACACCAGCCAGCACTGCATTTTCTTTATTAATTATCATTTCTCCACTCACAAGGCTTACAGGTTTTCTCATATTTGCTAATCAAAAGTTGGAGGCAGTGCTAAATTGCACTTATTACGAAATCTTATTTCATGGATTTATTCTTAAAATACAATGAGAATAAATTTAGCCTCGGCTGACCAAATAAACCAACCCACAGAAGAAATTAGAGTCCAAGTGCACCTCAAAGATCAACTAGAATTTATTTATGTAATCCTCGGCAAATTACTTAAATGTCTCTTGGTCTCTGTTTGCTCACCTATAAAATTGGAAGGTGAATCAAAACAACTTCTAGAATTTCTTCTAAATATAACACTAGATGATTGGTCTTTCTAAACCCTAAAGTTTCACTAAGATTCTGTCTGCATTTCTGCTATTCCATACACTAAAAAGGTGTTATCTTGAATAAGGAAAAATACTGTGCTGAATAAACCATCCACAATGCAGCGGGCCATCATAAGAAATCAAAGTCCATAGATATTCCTCCAACACACACACACACACACACACACACACACACACTCAACATTATTTTAGTGCCAATGTTAGCCAAATTTCCACCATTGGAGTTTCATGTCAAATCTGAATGTCCCCTTTATTTTCATTCACTTAAAAGTGGAATTTATTAGATCACTTTTTAAAAAATAGCCACACCCTAACCATAAGCATGATTGTCCTAGTTTTATGCATTTTTTTCTAATAAAATTCAAATAAATATAGTCCATAAATAAAATAAAATTCCACCAACTATCTAGAATTGTGTTGTATACCCTCAGTGGTATGTATATTAGACTGAAAAATACCAGAGTAGCTTATGAAAAGAAGATTATACACACTGGTCTAGAATATAAGATTTGATTTTGAAGAAAACTACTAAAGTATTATTTCCATTGCATTTATTAGGATAAAAAAATCATCAACTGCTAAATCAATTATTCTTTCATTACTTAGAGAATCTGATTTCATAAATTATTATGAAAATGGGAGAATAGGACCACCGGTTAATGGGTAGAGTTCTTGTTTGGCATATGAGTTAGCATAAATTCCACTCTCGTCGTGCCAAGTGTTGATGCCAAATCTTTTGGAGCCATTTAGATCTGTGAACTGAGAACGGCATTTTCTGTGGACTATTGAATAATCATCTTGACAAGGATAATCCTATAAGAGGAGGAAGGAAAGAAAAGTGATACTGAATAACTGAAATATGTAAAAAGGAGTGATGTCTAAAAGCTGATCTTTAGTATGTTAGTCTTACTATGAACAAAGGTGAATTTTCAAACAATTGATTAATTTAACTTCTCAAAGTACAAATACCTCAATGAGAAAAAAAGGCTATTGCATTTATAACTACTTATAATTCTGAAAGAAGAAATTATTCATGGTTGTTTTATGAAACTAAAAATAAATTATTATACATTTAAAATTGTTCTGACCCATAAATTTACAGATAAAATTTTATGATTATCTATGTAAGACCCAAACAATTACAATTTATCTACCATTCAACACCTTTTTAAAATTAATGTGTTATAATTATTCCAAAGAATAATATCTTGGGCTATATCTTTAATAACTGCTATCCAGTCACACTTGCCAGTAAATGCCAAGTTCAAAGATTCATTCCTATGAGAAATTTACCTCAGCATAATCCAGTATAGTGTTTAAGGCATTTACCCTTAGAGCACATCATAAAAACTTCTATTATCTATATATATAAAAGCCCAGCGACCAGAACGGCAGAATGACCAGAACAACCGGAACAACTGGTGGCTATGACACACACTGTGGCAGCCTACCAGCCTGATCCAGGCCCCAACTGGCCCCATTCTTATCTGGCCCAGCTCCTGATCGGCCTTCAGCACCCCAATCAGGGGCAGGACTGGCCGGCCAACTGCCTGCGGCCCCTCCCCCACACTGGCCCAGCCCAATGGGCCTCCATGAGGGCAGGCCAGCTGGACCCCACCCGTGCACAAATTCATGGACCAGGCCTCTAGTAAGAAAATAAGACACTATCATTGACCATTTCCCAAAGGAAATAATGATTCTTTTAGATTACCATCAAGGGTAATGATAGATAAGGAACATAAAGCCCTTGAACTGATTATATAATTTCTCCCTTTAATTGGTACAAATTTTAAAGTACTAGAAAAATATTGAAATTAAATCACCAAAATCTATAAAAAATGAAAGAACAGCTAAACATAGTTCAAATCTTAGATTGGCTTTATTGAAAATAATTGAAAACTTTAACCAGATGTTCAACCATAATAATCATTATAGTGTCTATTTATTTTCTGAGTGCCATGGGCATAGTAGTTGAGTGTTTATATCTTTCAATTCATAACAGGGCTCTGAAGTACAAACTACTGCTCTCATTTTACCTATGAGAAAAGATAATTTGCTTAAAATCTCAGAAGAGGAGAATTTAAAGAATGCCAATATTAAGTGACTCAGCCAGGACTTCAAACTAACCAACTAACTGTAAGATCCATTATCCCTCCAGGATCCTCATGAAATTCTTAGCAATAAGAGATGAAAAGAAATATAAACAACAAAATCCTAAACCTACATCTAATCCATGTTCTTTTCTACATAATTTGGGCTTTTGCTTTTTGTTGTTGGGGTCTATTTCTTTGGGGTTTGTTTGTTTGCCTTTGATCAGGTAGAGGCCCTTTAAAATAGATTTTAAGCATCACTGGTGAAAACTGCCTTCTCAGAGGGAGGCAGGATCTGCTATTCCTACCCCAGCTGCCATCTACCTGAAGAGAGCATCAAATGAAAGGTCAATGTGTTCCTTTAGCACCTTTTATGCAAAGAGGATGATTCATTTTGATAATGTGAATGACAAGATTAAATGTGACGTTTTAGGAAAAGGATTCTGGCAACAGAAGGTACTAAAGATTGAAGGTGGAAAGGACTGGATTCAGGAAATGCAATTAGAATTGGATCTCAACTATTTACAATATCAACTGATGGGTGAATAAACAAAATGTGGTCTATTCACACAAAGAAATATTATTTGGCAATAAAAGGAATAAAGTATTGATAGATGCTATAACATAGACAACATTATGCCAAGTGACAAAAGCTAAACCAAAATACCACACAGTGTATGATTTCTTATATAAAATGTACAAAATAGGCAAGTCCACAGAGGAAAAAGGTAGTTTTTCAGGAGATGGAGAAGAATAAGGAGTGACTATTAATGGATGTGATGTCTAATTTTCTATGTCAACTTCACTGGATCATGGGCACCCAGACACACACACACACACACACACACACACACACACACACACACCTTGTAATCCAACTCATAGACTTATGGACTTCAGAATATCAATGACCAAACCTGGAAGAATCAGCTCATAGAGTTCTTCAAATGTGAAGAAAAATATGCTTTGCCTATAAGGCTTCAACAAGAGCTGGAAAAAAGAGCAGGAATATAAGGAAGAGTCTGGAGAATTGTAGGAAGAAAATAAGGGAAAAGGATAGCAGAAACAGTTTCCTAATGTACCCATCCCTACCTAGACTTTAATCAGGTAGAGTCTCTTTGACTTGGACACAGAGAAGTATCTATAATAATAAAAGAATAATATGCTAATTAGACCGGATGTCCTTTTGGATGACCTTCTGAGGGAAGTCTGGGTCCTGGGTGCCAGAGGGAAGCCGGTGCCGGCAGCCAGGGGAAAGAAGGCCTACTCTTGCGCTAATTTCATTCATCGGGCCTCCAGTCTATAAACATAAAAGCTTAATCAATCAGCCAGTAGCTATGATGTGCACTGACCACCAGATGCTCAATGCAGGAGCTGCTGAGCTGTAGTCACTTGGCAACGGTGGTTTTCGGGAGACGCACCCAGAACCAGAGAGGAGGGAGCCATATTCCAGGGTGTGTCACCCAAGAACCACCCTCTCAAAATCCAGGGCCCCTTGGGGTATGTCAGAGAGCTGGTTTCAGCCCCACAGGCCAGGCCGAGGGACCCCACTGGTGCACGAATCCGTGCACCAGGCCTCTAGTATTAAATAAAAGAGACTAATGGCAGAAAGGTATGTGGTGTCTTCTCCTGGCTTCCACCTCTCATGAGAACTCTTGAAACAAAACACATATCAGGCTGCCCTTTCATTTGCCTGGGGCACATACCCAAGCTGGTAGAGCAGCATGGTCAGGCAGACAGAGACTCTGAGAGTCATCAATCCTGAGCCACTCTTGGTGTCTTAGGGCATAAACAAGACCCTGAAGTAACTGCAAGCCTGCAGAGGAGGTTCAGCTCTCAGTTTCAGAATTAGATCTGGGAATGAATGGGAGTCAGAGAAGGTTTCTGTGGGGCCAACAATATCTGTGGGAGTGGGAATAAGGCTGAGTAATCCCAAACATGCCATGAGGGTTACAACGAAGTCCAAAGAGAAATAGAAAAGAATGACAGTTAACAAAGTCCACAGACCAGAGCGACTAACGCCAGCAAAGAAAAGAGCAACCAGGTGGACTAGGTATATCATCCCAGAGACCAGAACAGGCACAAAAAATGCCACTCAAAAATACCCTATTCTTCCCCCCTGGCATCAGGATACTAAATTGTATCCCTCTCTCCATATACCTGGACACTCCCTTCAGGAGAGTTGCAGTTATTACTGCTGTGTAACAGGTCAACCTACACGTAGCATGAGAAACAATGGCCATTTTTAGATTCTTTGGGTCAGGAATTTGGAAAAGGTACATCAAAGACAGCATCTCTGCTCCACAGTGTCTGGGGTCTCAGCTAGAAGTCTTGAATGCTGGGGGTAACTTAGGACCTACACTGGAAACCTCTCTCATTCCAATTGGTAGCTGATGTTGGCTGTCTGCTGGGACCCCAGCTAGGGTCGTTGACTGGAACAACCTCACAGGTTCCCTCACGTACATACTTGGGCTTCTTCATGGCATGATAACTGGGTCTGAGATTGAGGGCGGCACAAAGAGAACCAGGAGCTTTTTATCACCTGACCTCAGAAGTCACAAGCTTCACTCCCACCATAGTCACAGTTCACCCAATTGCAGGGGAGGTAATACAGATTCTGCCTCTTCATTAAAATCACACTGCAAGGGCATGTGAGGTGGCAGGTATGTTGCAGCCATTTTGGGACAATAACAATCTGCTACAGGGAGAAAAATAGGGAGTGTTGAGGTTCCCAAGGCTACCCTTAGATTCAATGACTTGCTAGGAGGACTCACAAGACTCAACATATAGTGGTACTAGGGGCTATGATTTATTACAGCAAATGGACACAAAGCAAAATGAGCAAAGGGAAAAGGCATGCAAAGTGAAGTCCAGACGAAACCAGGTGCAAACTCCCAAGAGTCTTTTCCCAGTGAGTCACACAGGATGCACTTAATACCCCAGCAATGAGTTGTGAAATGCTCTCTACTGGGGAAGCTCATTAGAAACGTAGTGGACAAAATTTTTGTGGGAGGCTGGTCACATAGGCACCCTCTGCCTTGACACCAAAATTCCAGACTTGCAGAAGGAAAGCAGGTGTTCAGCATGAACCATATTGTTTGCACATTTTAGGCACAGTGAGCCATTCTTATTAGAGAATCTTATCTGGAAAGCCAAGTTTCTAGATGCCAACCAAAGGCCAACCTTACAAGCAGGTTTTTGGTTTTTTTACAGGTAGCAGTCTCAGCTCTGCTCTGGTAGCTCTTTACTACAAAGAGGGGATGGGAAAGGATCTCTAAGAGTTTTTCAAGGGAGATTAAACACTTCTTGTAGGAACTACAATCAGGCTAATCTTTAAATGGCTTGAAGAGTATGTGTTTTCCCTCTGGTGGTGGGCTTGGGAAGAAGGCCAGTGATCAGGCACATTCTTTCCTATGCATATGTAAGTTGCTATATTTTCAACATCCTAACCTAATAATGAAATGTTTACTCAACATCAATTTAGTGGGAGTGGGAAGAAGTGTTTAGAAATTGTGTATAGAAACAGATTTTTGAAGTACCACAGAAGCTGTTGGCTGGTCCATTATTCTGGTGCTTCAGAGACCCTGACTTCTGACAAAGTTCATTTATGATAGAACCATCACTGCAAGCTTTCCTGAGCCCTTCAGGGAGACGAGGGTACCTGGGAAGAGGTAGCTGAGCTGTGCAGAGCCAAACTGGAGGAGACATGTCCGAGGAAAAAGG